TAGGTCACTAAGGAAATCAATGTTAATTATCTTCATATTAAAAAAGGGTAAAAATTGCATTTCTTAAAACCCTGTTACTTATAAATTCTTTTTACCTTTTGAACTTTCTTGGCTTTATAAAACTGTCAGCAAAGAGAAAGTCGGGGCGAGTTTCCTGTAGTCATGAACTCCACCATCCTTTTTACAAGTCTTTATTCTTGGAAAAGGTACATGCTTGTAAGTTTAAAAGCATTAACTAAGAAAATAAATAAGCAGTAAAGTGATTGGTTTCCATTTAGTGATCCGTTTGCTTCTGATTAACAATGGAAAATAACTTGATAAGCTTGGGAAGCAGGCACCTTTCTTTTCACCCTTGTGAATGAAGTCTCCTGAGTTTGCACTTCTCCTGCCTGAACCCGTCCGACCCCAGGGCCCGCAGACAACTGCTGCTCTCTCAGCTCATGTCCCTGCAGGCCTGCTGCCAGCGCTTGTAGTTCTAATCCAAATTTAACTTAGACTTTTCACTCTACTTTTAGTCTGCAGCATTGGGCAGAGAAAAAGTGTAATTACATGCCAAAGAGATTCTTTAAACTCTAAACTCATAGAGATGAGGCTGCTCCCTCCCCGATTCTCACTACATCCACACACAGTAGTTGAATGTGCTGCTATTTCTCTTGTTCCTGTGGTCCTTGTCTCAGGCTCCAGCGGCCTGATTTCCATCACTCCAGCTCAGGCCCACTTTTCCATGGAGTCTTCCCATCTATGTCTAATAACCCTTGCTTCCCTTTTTCTGTCTTTTCTACTTTGTTTGAGAGCATACATTTTTATCTGCTTCAAAGTCAAACTCCACCACCTGTCTTCAAGCTCTGCATAGCATTACTTCACCCAGTGTATTACTCACTGCTTGCGGCACACAGTCCAGTCCCTAAGCAGCATGATGGGTGCCACAGCAGAAAGGCAAATGCAGCTCTGCTGTGTGGTCAGCCGACTTGCCTAAGGATGAAAGAATGGTGAATAGACAGATTCGCCGTTACTGGAGGAAAGAGCTTCTCCTAAACTGTAAATAACATATGTATTTTTGTCATGACAAGGAGCTGTTATCAAATATTGGAAGTAAATTAATTAACTTCACTTTATATGAGAGTGATATCTATCTATATATCTTTATCTCTATATATATCTATACCTATAGCTATATCTGTATATCTATGTCTCCAAGTGGGCAACTGATTATGTAGACTACTGGTCATTGTAAACAGCAGACCTCTCCTGAATGAGCCTGCTTTGCATTAAGGTGATAGCTTTAGTAACCTCATCTGGAGTAGCCCAAGTGATATGGCTTTGAGTTCCATTAGCTTATTCTGGTCATGCCAGTTGTTCTGTGCTGATAAGGTGCCACCTATTGGCTAAGAGTTAGGCAACCAGAAATTTTAAAAAGTGTTTTGAAAATAAGAATAAAGTAACCTTGATATTAATGTGAAACTCATAAAGCCTGATTTTCAAAAGTGAGGGTAGGAGAGGAAGGAAAAGGCAGCGAGGTGTCAGGAAGGATCCATATGGCCATCCAGTTGTACAGGCCAATGACAGTAGCACGTCTATGGGTGGATCCCATCGGTAAGAGTTCTTAAAGTTTCCTGACCTTTCCAACATGCAGCCAACTTTGAGAAGCTCCCCGCCCCACCGAAGTGTCACTGTCCATGGCCCCACTTGGCAACCGTGCACATGCATGCTGGGGAGGAAGGGACAAGTCTGTGACCCAGCTTTTGTGCCAGAGTGAAGCTCCTGAATCATCTTTTCCCATTGCCACCAAAGAAAAATTCATCTTCATGTAGAAAACATGAAGATGAGCTTTCACTGTGCCAAATCCGTAGAATAATTTTCCCTTTTCAGAAAGATACACTACGTGGGATTGAGAGGCATTCTCTAATTTGGGTCACTATGATATAATTGATAAATTATAGTACTTTTTTTTTTTAGTTATTGAGAATTTCCACAGGATATACTTAGCCTTGTCTCTCTAGGGTCATTTTCATCTCACAATATATGTAGTTAGCTACTTACTAAATTTTGAACAATGGGCAAATTTCTCAGTGGTGTGTGGAGGGTCTCTGAGATAATCCCATGGTTGAATACCTGCTATAAGGACTCAGGTGTCCCATATAGTTGCATGCGTGGCTTGCACGTATTACAGTGGTGTGGTGATGTTGTACAGCCCAACCAGAAGGGTTCAGGACATACGCAGAGTTTGGGAAAATCCACACAAAGGCTTTCTTGTGCTCGTTCCCTCTTTCCTGCATACCCTAGCGACAGTGGTTCAGCACCATACCTATGATGCTGCTGCTCGAGGAAGTCCATCAGAGACTGTACAGCTAACGTATTTGGGGCACTGGCAGGCTGGTGGGAGGAGATGGTGTTTCAAACTAACATGGTGGTGACTGGAATGGAGCAAAGAAAGTGGTTTTATTAGGCTTTTACAGACCACCTGTGGCTGGCAGAACTGAAGCAGAGAGAAGTGTCAAGAATAACACAATAATTTGTGGATTGTAGCGCTTGGTAAAGCTGTGGAAATCTGAAGTCAACCTGATTAATCTTTTAAGATGTCTTCTCTTCCTTACCCAACTCTCTCCTTTCCTTTGCTCCTTTTTTCCTCCCTTCCTTTCTCGCTTCCTTTCTGTGCTTCATTATCTCCCATCGAATAACTCATGAGTTTGAATTGGACTTAAGATATTCAAATGTGGTGTCCAAAGGGCACAAGCTCAAATGGGGAGTCTAAATAAAGAATTAAATCTGTGAAGTAGTTGAGTCTTGAGACTGAAATAACAGAAAGTTGGTCTAACCTTCTAGTAACACTGCTTGATGCCATAATATATAGCATTGTAGAATACAACTACACTGTCAGGGGATGGTGAGATTAAAGTCTAATTGCTGCATAATGACAGGCAGATGACACAAGCATATTGAACAAGTAAATGTTAAACAACAATGGGCCCTCAGATATACAATAAACAATCAAATATTCAAGGGCTCCTAAATGGACAGAATTTGGGAACAGGAATGCACTTGGAAGGCTTTCCTGCCTGTTCCCTTGGGTTGAGGCATAAATGACATGCAGTCAGAGGGCCTGGTGCCATAAGACTGAGATATGGTCTGACTGGGTTTCAGTCTGTGCTCTTTATTAAAAATCTTTACTAAAGTGTGAATATCACTTGTGCTATTATGTGTGCTAAAAATGTACAAGGTGGAATCCCAAAAGTATCTTATCAAACATCAATTTACATTAGAAAAGGGGCTTTCGTGATAAACTTTATGTGGAAATACTAAAAAGTGTATTTCTAGTAGTTTTACAATGCACATTAAGATTTGTACTCTCAAGTCAATCAGAGAAGGAATTTATTGATTTTGGCATCATTCACTGACTTTGCCATGCCCCCTTTTCTTTTTCACAGAATACTTACCAATGTTTAGGTTCTTTTGGCAATTACGATGCAAAACAATGTGATTCAATCTCCTAAAAATGCCTCCACAAATCAAAACTCTATAGTCTCCTTTATGAAGTCAACATCAAGTAAAATGAGAGACAAATACAACATTAGGCTAGGATCATATAATTTTATTTACTTTTAGAAGGGGTCTAAGCAACCTGAAAATCATTAGAAAACAGTAACAATCCATTTTGACTTATTTCTATAAAGTTCTTGAAAAACTCATTATTAATACTCAGGAATTGAGTCTAAAGTTCTTGCTCTGTCTGAGATCAAATAATTGGGTTATTGTAACGGTTTGTATCTTAAATGCCCCCCTTCTCCAAAGCCCATGCTAAAGTTTTGGCACCAATCTGTGGCACTATTGGGAAACAGTACAATTTTTAGGAGGTAGAGACTATGGAAGAAAGTGAAGTCATAAGATGAGTGCCCTTAAAGAAGATATAGGGACCCCAGCCTCTTCCTCTTTCTTTCCTTCCTGGCTCCCATGAAGTGATCAGGCTTCCTCTGCCAAGTGCCCCAGCCATGATCTACTGTGGCTTTGCAGGTCCAAAGCAACAAGGCCAAGCAACCATGGACTAAAAACTCTGAAACCATGAACCAATATAAACATTTCTTTCTTTTAAATTGTTCACCTCAGGTATTCTGTCACAGTGATAGAAAGCTAACAGTTACTATCTGTTATGAAAACCAAACCAAAAAATGCTGAATGTCAGGAAACACGAAACAACCTTTTCTTGTATGGTTTTTAGTCAGTTGTGTTTTTCTAAGTTCTCAGGTTTGTGGATAGGAGCAGTAATTCTCAACCCTGGTTGTACTACACCCTAGAGTAGCTGCAATGATTTCAAGAGCTCTTAGCTCAGAGGAAAATGAAACAATCTCAGCATGCTTTTGACTGGGAAAGGAAGGAGTAAGAAATGACATAGTAGAGATCTGAAGCTTCAAAGGTTTGGGGATAGAAGAGCCATTATCTCCTTATAGATAGTATCTGCTAAGTACAAAGAATACAAAGTATAAAGTATTGTCCTTTTTCTAGCTAGCAGTCCTACAATGACAGTACAGAGAATAGAATTTAAGTACAAAGAATGTAATTTAAGTTCAAAGAATAGAATAGTAAAATAGATATGGCACAACTGTTTCTTCAAGAAACTAAAAGAAACATAATTTTTTTTTAAAAAATTAGAATTTTGAGAAAAATTTTAAGGAGTTGATATGAATGAACTATTTTAATGTTACTTTGTATTAATATAATAGTAATACCTATTTATCATGGGAAATTTATAAAAGTCAAAGAAAGGAAAAGAAAAGGAAAGAAGGGAGGGATGGAGGTAAGAGATGAGGGAAGAAGGAGGGAGGTTCACTACTACATTTTATAAATTATTTCCCCGAGCTCTCCAACCTTGGTGCCACCACAATTGCTTGTTATTCAAACATTCCCACAGTGAATATTTTTGTAGCTAAATCTTTTCACACATTCATAATTTCCCTCAGACTGTATTTCTAACAGTGACTACTTTAGGAAGAAAGAGAATGAAAACATTTGTTCTCATCATTTTATTATTTAATGTAACGGAAGATGAATGGCAGAATATTTTACATGCATAAAGAAAGATAGTTTTAAGTTATATATGATTTCAAAGGAAGGGTACACAGCTGTGATTGTAGAAGACTTTATATAGAAACATAGATATGCAGGATGAAATTGGCCACTTCATTTTGACAGATGAACCACCTACAATTTTTATATTTCATTCAGAAACTTAATAATTTAATCACACAGCACATGAGTGTTTCCCCCTGTACTTACACATACATATGACAAGTGTTCATATGTATTTGAGACAATCTCTCCGAGCTTATTTCCTTTAGATCTTTTGGAAACAATGTATATTCCAAACTGCCAACATAGAAATAATGCTTCTACATGTACCAAATCTCTGGGATTTTGCTGGAACTCATTATATATGTATTTGTGGGGGGACAGGGGACTGGGGATAGAGCTTTAACTGTCTTTTTAGGACATGTTTGCAGGACACACATTTTTCAATCAATTTGAAGCCTTTGGTATTTCTTACTTGGCCTCCAGAAGGTGCACCTTTTCATAAGATTCTCATCAGCAGTCCCCATTTCCCGCCTCTTCTCCAGCTCTGAGCGCAAGTCTTTGGCAACTCGGAGGGAAGAAGAATGTCACTTTATCTGTCCATCGGTGACTCACGCTCCCTGTGTGGGACACTCCACTTGAGGCACGCTCAGCACTGGAGGTGTCTCTATTTGAGACACAACCATATGGTCTCTGCCCTTGAGAGAACTCATAGCGCAGCTGGGAAACAGCCTTATGTTTGGTGGAAGTGGGTTGGAAGAGAAAGGGCTTCTTTGAGCGTGCAAGTGTTTTGGATCTGTTGAACCATTTTAATTTTCCCATAGTTCTGAAGGAGGACTCAATAGGATTCTGTACAAATGGTCACTATTGGACTGCTAGCTAGAAAAAGACAGAAACTGGATGCTGGAAATTAGCTGAGAGAAGGATCTGAATTAGGGCCAAGAATAGTTAGGCAAGGAGCTGTGTGGCACTGGTGAGAAGTGGGCGTTGTTGCTGCTTTCTCTTTTTTTGGAAATGTATCATTTGTATAAAAAGTCAAATGTAATTTTAAATTTTAAAAGTGCTGAATTTGAAGGACTAGCTCTTCTGAGCTCAGAGATCAATGGAATATGATCTTGCTACAAAAGTCGAGAGTCAAGTTGCTGGTTACAACTCAGGTATAACCATTGTGCAGTGACTCCAGAGTGAGTGTGTGGAGAGAGGAGAGAGCAGGGAGGAGGAGGGACGGGAGGAAGAAACAGAAGTACAGCAACAAAAACATGCTAGGTAGAGCCATGGTAGAAACGAACAATGTCAACGTGCCTACCGTGGACTGAAGAGCCTTGATGTCTGGGACTACCCCGCCAAATCTCCAGCCCCCCAGGCCCCCAGAGTCTCCTACTGGGAACTCTGCACAAAAAGAATGGTAAAGGTAGAGGTCCACTCGAGTCTGACAGTCAGTACACTACCAGATTCTGCTGGCCTGACAGGCTATGCAATTTGTTCAAGGGTACAGAACATAAGTAGCAGTATCTCTCTGGTACTGGCAATTTCTTTGGGAAACTGCCCCTCATTGACAGTGCTTGATATTGTAGAGGAAGAGGATGGAAGAAGCCAGATTTTAACTCTACTACTATAAGGGGAAGCATGTGTTAGACTCTTCTTTCTTTTTTTTTTTTTTTTTTTTTATCGGTACCGGGGATCGAACTCACGACTGCCTGCTTGCAAGTCAGGTGCTTATGCTGCTGAGCTAAATCCCCAGCCCCTAGACTCTTCTTTCTTTCTTTCCTTCTTTTTTTTTTTTTTTTTTTTTTTTTGATACTGCAATTGAACTCAGGACCTCATGCTTGCCAGGCTGGTGCTGCAGCACCTTAGGGTTAGGGTTAGGGTTAGGGTTAGGGTTAGGGTTAGGGTTAGGGTTAGGGTTAGGGTGCTGAGCTATAAAGACTTTTGATACTTAGCAAAACTAGGTAAGTTTCAAACAGATCATTTCTCCTGAGCACTCCCTCCTGGAAGCCTGTAATATCTCCAGAAGTGGGGTGACTTTGTAAGGTTGGAAGTTTTTACACTGTTTTTACACTGTGGAAGCACAGGGATGTTAAAACTCTTGTGAAGCTAAAACTTTCTACACATGAAAGTGGGGGTGGGGAGTGTAAAAAGTTACAGACCACTTGCCAGAACTAGGTCTACTTACCTGATGGAGTTAGAAATTCAGAAACAATGATTTCTCGAAGAAGTTGACAATATCTTTTAAATGCAGAAAGTTCACCAATGAGCAGCTACCCCAGAATGAAGCTACTACTTCATTCTGACAGTTTCCTATCCAGTGCCTGGAATATTTGGCACATAACAGGCATTTTGCTCAGGTTGTTACAGGAATTAAAAAAAAAAAAACTAAGCTTATTTCTTGGATTCAAAGGAATAGATAAGCATAGATTGTGCCTAAATAGCTAGTGGACGAGCCTACTTCTCCACTATGTTTGAAAAAACTCTCCACTGCCTCCTAAAACATAGTTACTAGGCAGTAGAATTCCCCCCTAAATTATTTTTTGGCATCTATTTCTAATTTCCCTCATATCTTATGCCCTCATTCTAAAAAATAATAAATACTGGGAAAACTTATGAAAAACAAAGCAATGTTTTTAATTTCAAAATAGCATAAAATGCATATTCAGATATTGTTAAAAATTAGAAGCTGCCAAAATGGTGAAGAGTAAAGAAGGATCAGATATTCGGTATAGTGAGGGTTGAAACTTGGTTCTCCAGAGTGTTCAATATGGATTCTCGGGTTTATGTCACTATGTGCATACTCATTATGAGACAGGAAGACAGGGCCCAGCAAAGCTGGCTTGGGGAGTAAGTGCACCAGATAATTCTTAGGACCCAGTTTATAGGCTTAGCACGGGTTCCTGAAATGTGTGGAATGAACAGAGCATGACTTTGAAAGCACACTATCCTGATGGCCTGCACTGTGCCCTGAGGGCGTACTTTTATCTTATTTTATTTTATTTCTTTTTTTTTTTTTTTTTTTTGCTTTTATTTGGCCCAAGCTCTCTCTGCAGAGCCAGTTTTTCCTTTATCCTTTTCTTTTAATACTTCAAATAAATGTGAAATTTTGCCATCATTTTTGCTTGTTTTGCTCAATTCATTGTTCAAAACAGAAAGAATCTGGAAACCACCTCTAGGAGACCCCAGAACCCAAAATCCAGTAATAGTTACACATGATAATTTGACTTGAGCAGGAAAAGCCATTGGATCAAACTCAAGAAAAACCCAAATTTTACAATGAGTCTTCCCCTCTTGACATTTTAAAATCTGAAGCATTGTAGTGGAAAGATCCATACTTTTAAAAAGGATGTGCTGGGCAGAGGCTGAGGCAATCTGAATGTCTCAGATCCACACTCTGAGAAAGAAATACTACTGCCCATTGCTGATCCAAGAAATAAGCATTCCTCGTTGGTTTGTTAAGATATACCTTTGGTACTTGGTGGTTTTCTAGAAAGTGCAGAACAAAAAGTCTTAGCCCTTTGAGGGTATCTGAAGTTGTGCAGGAAGCAGTCATCTTTTCATGAAGTTGTGTCACTTGCCCCTTTTCTGTCTTTGTGCTGCCATCTAGAGAGGAAAGGAAAACTGTCAGGTGGAATCCAGACCACCATACGCAGCTTCTAGAACAGAAAGCAGGCTGGCTGAGTGAGTCCCCTGAGTGAGCAGGGGAAGAAAATGGCTCCTGTCCTAAGTTTCTAAGACTAACATCAGGCTCCCAGACAGCTGGCCAAGAAGCATGCATTTCTCCCAATATTCAAAGGAATTACAAAAGAAATTGTACAAAGGAAATACAAAATAATGTTAATAGCAGCCCAGCTCTTGAAACAGGTGGCATCATTTTAGGAAAAAATAAAAATACAAGAAATAAATGAAAATGAGATTCTGATATGAATAATTCCTAAACTTTTCTTTCTTTGCTTTTTTATTTAAGAAAGGCAGGACCTTTTTTGTTAAAAGCATGAAACCTTATATAGACTTTAATGTATACCAGAATAGATAAGCATAGATTTTTATGTAGAAGCAGTTGTCCCTAATATCCCCCTGAAGAATGTAAGTGTCATTACTATAAATTGGTGTCTTGCTGAGTACAGGCTTAAAAGTAATTTATTCTAGATGTATAAATCACAAAAAGTGTTGCTGGCATCAGACTTCTGTGTCATCGTGTGAAGGTGGTGATGCCTTTCCTGACTTCTTCTCTCCTAGAATGCTGTCTCATTCTTGCTCAGCTTTCTCACAGCTGCCCACACTGTGAGTGGCATTTGTCCACTTACCTTCCTAGAATGGGAAAGTCTCACGGGCAGGGAGTTCATTCTGACAGTTTCCTATCCAGTGCCTGGAATATTTGGCACATAACAGGCATTTTGCTCAGGTTGTTACAGGAATTAAAAAAAAAAAAAAACTAAGCTTATTTCTTGGATTCCTTTTTTCTTTTGCAAGAACTAACAATGTGACTTTAACTGCACATATTATGATCAAAACACTCATGTAAGGTCACAATTCCTTGAATGTCTGTGAAGATACTGATTTTTCCCTAAATCTCATTTGGTCCTTTCTTCTCTTTTAAATAGTCTGTTACCATCATCAAAATAATGTTTGTTAACAAAAATGCATGCTGAAAATGCTAAATCTGATAGCTGAATAAAGATCTGACATACACTAGCTCGGCAGACGCTTTGCCTAAATTCTGACTTGTTACCGCTGAGGATAAACTGCCCTAGAGAATTCATTAAGGATAATCTGCAAGAGGATGAAGCAGAATGAATCTGATTTTTTCTTTCTTAAAACACAATTCATAATTAAAGCAGACTATGTAAAGATAAATGGTCATAAGCTACACAGAAAATGCTGAGAATAAAAGCTTTAGGCATGCCAAAAAGCAGGGAGGGCTCTGCCACCTGCAGTCACGCAGCCTCAGTTTGACCACCTGTACACCAGCATCACCCCTTCTCTAAGCTACAAGGACAAATTCAGATGCTGATGTGTGACTAGTGTGAAAACTGTGATTAAACATACTTAGGAAACCTTTTGACCAGTCTAATGGCTCCAAGGAATGTATAAATCTGATAGTACAAATCACAGTGCATAAAACAGTGTGAAAATTGAACCATTTCTTCCAATTATTCAGACAAGGCCAAAGGCCCTGGATATCTCCCAAGAATGCTTAGAGAGCACCCTTTTACTTGACTCCCCAGGCCTGCAGTCCCTGGACCATGGTCTGTAGCACTTTCTTCATAGGAATAAAGGATATAAGGCTTCCCAAGAGTCAAGCATTGCAGAAAACGACATAAAATGACTTGATGAACTGGTTCTAGGAAGACTATAAATTGACTGATGATCTAGTCCTGTCTCGCAGAACAGGTAATTGTGGGCCAGGAATTTGTCTGTGCCTCAGAGTTGTATAGGTCAGGGAGCTCAAGCAAGAGCCATGCAACCACTTTAAACCTTTCCATTTTTTAGACAAGGTCTGACTACATCGTTCAAGCTAGCCTTGAACTCACTATGGGCTCAGTCTTGCCTCAAACTGACAGCAATCTTCCTGCTGTGGCCTTCTGAGTGCTAGGATTAAAGGCATGCATCACCATGCCAACTCGAAAACTGCCTTTTCAGTACTGAAACATAGGTGGCAATTTGTAGTATTTGATTTAATTTACACTTTTATAATTTAAGATATACCTGTTTACTGTCATTATAAGTTTATATATAAAATTAAATAACACTGTATATTTAGCCAGTAAGTTACACTTTTCTCACTTCCAGATTGCTTTGTGCATTATGAAGTTCGTGAAATAATATATATATATATATATATATATATATATATATATGATTCTGGGTATGGACTGCACATTATGAAATAGACCAGAATCAATAACAGAAATTTGCCTTGAAAATTATCTTAAACCAATGGAGGCTGATTTCCTCAACAGTGCAGAACAAAGCATAAATCTTGAAAAAGATGAACAGGGCTGAGAGCTAAGAGTACAGAAAAATTTAACTGAACATAAATTAGATATACAAGAGGAAAAATTGTTGGTAACCTGGGACCAGTTTCAGAGATGTGTATGGTTTGATGAAAAAGATTGAGGCTCTGTGTGTTCTCAAGTAATTTTACAGTTTGCAGAAATGTTTTGAAGTTTTCCCAAATTCAGCACATTAATCAAGTAGAAAAACTATTCAAGAGAAGCAAAGAGTCAAAGGATTCAAGTAAGTTAGTATCATAATGTGCAGTATAACAGACTTTAAGGTGGGTCTTACTGGAAATTCTTTCAAGAGTTTAAGAGTAGAACATATGTGCATGGATACAGGCATATTTCTGCTTGTGAGGGCTTATGTATGTTTATATTAAGCCCATATTGATTTGTTCCTAATTCACTTTCAAAATAACATATAGTATGTGTAACACCATATTTTAACTTTTAAAATTATTTTCTAAATCTTGGTTAGTAATGCACATTACAAGTAAGATCAGGATTTTCAACTTGGACTCAAAGGTAAAGTCAAATGTGCAATAAAATAGAATTTTTTATTTTCCAAATTCCCAGTTAGTCCATGGCTAAGCCATGACATAACTCCTATTTATAGCTTCTGGAAAGACAACGATTTTATAAAGCTCACATTATTTCAAGCTTCCATAATTTAAGTTATTGGCTTGACATAAATAATCTCTGAATGCTATGTAGAAGCAAATTTATTAATATTAGTGAGTCACACATACTGAGAAGAACATAGCCCTTTACCCCGTGAGCTTAAAGATTCTATTTCATATAATGACTAGAATCTCTGACATGCAAGTTTAAGGTGCACACATATTTTGGATGAGTTCATAAATATTTATTTGCACTTCTAATACTAGAGTACCATAGAAAACCCATTCTCAGAAGTTAAAGGCTCAGGTCTGAGACTGTGGAGGATCTCAGTGTGCACTGTAGAACATTTATCTTGGTGTCTAAAGGTAGATGAATTGATCAGTTGGTTACTTTCCCCATGGAACAAATAGTTGCCCCAAGTTGGGTGTTGCCATATGTATTATACGACCTGTCAGGCAAGGTCCTACAGAGGGAATAGGCATGAAAATTGGATGGAGGATGGCTAAGCAAGAGTGTGGTGATGGCAAGTGAGCAAGGTCAGTGGATTGGGTTTCTGAAAAAATGATTTGGGGAATAAATGAAAATGACAAGACAGAACCAGTCATGTGAAGAGCTGGAAGATGTAGAGAGACGAGTAAGTCACACAAAGGAAGCACTGTGCAAAGAACTTGGCATGTTAGAAGACCAAAAAGAAAGCCAGAAAATAGCTTACACATTTTGAAAGGCCAAGGTGGATAAAAATGTCGAATTTTTCTTTAGAAAAAACACTCAAGTCTCCGCTAGCATGGATACTGATTATTCAACTGTCTGTCAATCATGTATTCAATGTTTTGGGAGCATTTTCTGAGCCCAGCACTATATAAATAGACACACTTCAGCAAAACAGAGTTCCCCCTAAGGGTTGGGTCTCTGATAGGAGTGTTTCTGAGTAGTCTTTTTCTCTTATCTTTTGCCCTCTGAGTTAGTTGTCAATGTAATAATTACACACTGCAACCGTAATTACAGTTCTGCAACTGTAGTTACTGTAAAGATTAAATGAATTATTACATGTGAAGTTTTAGGTTAGTGTCAACCACACAGTTGTTAGGCAGCTGTTATTATCGGTTGTTAATAGTATTATGAAATGATCACATGAGACATAGGATACTGGTATAGTTTCTAGGTATCCCGAAAAGTGAGGAGCATTTCATAAAATCACTAATACTCTCAAAAGAGTACAAAAGCCATTGACAGGAATATTGATCAACTCTTATGAATTAGAAAACCCTGAAGAAATATGACAACTAAATATAATATAAGGTCACAGATTATATTCTGGAACAGAAAAATGATAATTAGTGTAATAGCACTGTTTCATTATACAAGGATTGGTTTTGATCTTTGTGCTGTGGTTATGTGAAGTGTTCATAAAGACTGGAAAAATACTCTTTACTGCTTTTGCAATTTCTAAGTCTAAAATCATTTCCAAATAATAAAAGAGAAAGTTAAAGAGAAATAGATTTAGAGATGACAATGATGATCAAACTAATAGAAATTTACACAAATATTTTAACTACAATGTGTTTTTCAAAGGAAGATACAAATACAATGAATTAAAATGTTGGAAGACAAAGAACCAAAACATCTAAAACTAAAATTATATTTGAAATAGAATTCACTTATTGAGGCACTAACATTTTAAACTTGAAAACAAAGCAACTTGAAAACTGCCTAAAAATGAATTTTAAAAAAAAACACCAATAAAAGTGAAATTCAGGGTCAAGATCACTGTCTGGTATCTAGCATACACACAACTGGAATTCCAGAAGAGGAGAAAAGGAAAAGAACAGAAAGAACATTTGAAATGACATTTGCTGGCATTTATCCAGATTTGCTAAAAACATAGAAACACAAATATTTCAAGGTGTTTAACCAACACCAGATAAGACAAACACAATGAAAACTAAACCAATACATCAGAATCAACTTATTGAAAACTAT